AATCGTTGATTTCTCATGATTTGCTACTCAAGTTTTGATTTTTTATTTATTTCAGTACTCGAATTTACTTGAAGTCTAATTTTATTGGCGTGTACGGCAAAATCTATCACGTAGTAGTCAATTTTATCACGTCATTACCTCATACTCTCATATAACTATGGACACTTAAATAGAAAAAGGATCAAAGGTTAGACATTGAAGCAAAAAAAATAAAAATAAAGATTAGGTACAAAAAATTAGTTTTTTAAAAAAATTATTATCTTGAGATTGCAAAATTAGTCCAATAATTTCTAATAAATTTTTATATAATGCTCGTGATATATATATATATATATATATATATATATATATATATATATTACTTATCAATGGTAATTTTTAGTACTCTATATCCGTTAAAAATTACTTTTAAAAAAATTTAAATCCTTTTACATGTCTAGGCAAATTTAAAATTATGTCATTTAATCCATATATATATAAGGTCCAATTAAGATTAAATTTAGAAAAATAAATGACATATAAGATTCAATTATGATTGTCATTTATGAAATAAATGGTTAGTCAATTGAGGAAGTTAAAAAAATAAAAATTGCTTCCACTATCTAGGGAGAAAATAGACCAATATAACTTGTTGAACCTCTTATAGTAAGTTGACATGGGATAGAATCAACATAAATAAACTTAGTAATCAAGCCTTTTTATTTGAGCATTTAAAATGCAATATTTTTTTGTAGTGATAACAATAATGATATAGGTAGTAAGTAAACTACGAATTAAGATAAAAAATAAATACATTATTAAAATTGCTAGTCCAATTAACACAATAACAAAAAAATATGCATGCATGTAATTGGTGATTTTTTTAAAATTTAAAATTATATGACTTTTAGTATTAATTTTTGAAAAATAGGGATTAGATAAATGTAATTTCAATCCTAATATTTCATGGATTAAATACATTTGTGCTTCAAAAAATTAAAAAATAAGTTACACTTCACATATCTCGTTTCAACTTTAAATCGTCTTTAATTCGACCATAAACAACAAAAGAAACGTTTAATTAATAAGAATACACAAGAAAACTCTTTTATTTCAACAAATTTGGTTGTAAATTTTAGTTTTTTTTTTTTTTTTTTTTTCGAATTCGAAAAGAGAGAGAAGAACAAAAGAGAGAAAATGTAATTTGACAATGAGATAAGTTATGTTAGCCGGCAAATAGAGTCTAACTACATACGTAAAAATATTTTGTCATTTTATAATTAATCACGCTAAAAATTCATTGTAAAAAAATGGTGTAAATTGTAATTTTTTAAAAATAAAAATACAAAGTTCCTGCCATCTAATTATAGGGCTTTTTTTTTCTTTTTTTTTTTGTAATTTAAGCCTTCTAAAATTAAAAATTATTTTTTTTCTTTTTATTACAATAAGAGGTTCAAATTTTAGATCTTTTGAGAGAAGAAAGGACATTAACGCTAGTTGAACTTCGGCTCATTGATCAGAATAAAAAAACATTGCACTATCTTCTCTAGCTCGACTTTTACTTCCTCTTAGCTGAATATATACGAAATCATCAAACCTTTTTCCACTCAATCTCATTCCTTAAATCCTAGCCAGTTGATAACAAAATGGATAATATCACTATCATAGACCTCTCACAAACATCCATTCTATTTCGCAATAAATAGCTCTCGAGAAATTCATTGCAAATCCATAAAACCAACTGGAGCACCAATCGAAGAACCCAAAGACAGTGGGAAAAGGAAAAATGTTGTTTTGTCCTTTTCCAGAGCAATATAGATATACTGGAAAGGAAATAATTATCATGACACCGTCATTTTCTAAGACGAAGAGATAAATGGGAGTGTGGTTATCTAGAAAAGAGGAATACTTTTTAAAAAGCCTTGATATTTGTGCCGAATACGTATCGAATGTATTTTGGATATAGTCCAATACGTATCGAATAAATATATGTTCTGGATATAGCATGATACGTATTGAATGTATAAGGATTCAATATATATATATAAAATAAATGCAATTTAGATAAATAAAAGATGCAACAAAAGACGTGAGAGATATGATTAAAATACGTGAGGGATGTGATTAGGATATGAAAGAATACGTAAAGAGCATTTGTTTATGTTAGATTTGTAATTTTTTTGAAAAAGAAATGACCCAAATCTGGTTTAAAGTTTTATGAGTTAAAAAAATATATATTAAACTAAACATAACCTTATTTCAATATTTTTAATTAATTATTTGTAATTTTTAAAACTTAAAAATCAATTATATGATCATATTTTTATATAAGATTTATTTGAAGTACAAATATTAGCATAATAAGTTTTGTGCAAATTTTATATAAGATATGGAATCATTATTTATGGATGAAAAAAATATTTACTTTTTTTTTTATAAATGACAAGTTAAAGAAAGATGGGTAACACTAATTAAAAAAGTAGAAAAAATAAAATTGTGATTGATCTTGTCGTAAATATTAGTATAATCTTTTTCAAAATAAGTTAATTGTTAGACATTCAAAATTTTATTTATAATTTTAAAAAAATATAAATAACATGAAATCTATTTATACTTTCATATATTTTTATATATAATTCATTATATTGATTTTTATTATTGACTTTTATTTAATTTTATAACAATTTTCTTGTATAGGACAAAAATATTAGCGTACTGCTCGGATACTGTATATTAAATTTTTTTTTAAAAAAATTTTTTATTGTTGTATTTGTATTGTATTTTATATGTATCTCATATTTGTGTTTCATAAAAAATTAACTTATGGGAGTAAGTTGGAACGAATGATTTGTTCGGTTCGATTTTTAGTTTATTCCATTCGGTTTTTAATTTGTTCAGTTTTCAAACATGATCTAAATAAAATAAAATTACAGAATCGAACCAAATGAAGCTAATTTTGCAATTTGGTTCGGTTTTTCAGTTTCAAACCGAACATTATTCACCCTGCGCAGAAATGCCAATGTCACCTTCCCGGAACAATCCCTAAGCGAGCACGTTCCTTTCAAATTTTAAAAAGAGTACACAAAAAGAAGACAGGTCCAACGATTAAAAGCTACAAACTAACCTGTCCTTTTTCACGTCCCCACTCTCTTCAAATTATGTTCCCAACGATCTATAATTCTTACCATTACTTTCAAAATAATCTAAAATGAAAAGAAAATAAAAATGCACGGATTCCCAAAAAAAAAAACACCTTGTGAGAAAAATAATAATATACGATTCATTAAAAAAAAGCCATGCTAAACGTTCATCGAAATTGAATATAATATTATTTTTTTCCAAAAAAATTCTTTTCATATCAATTCTTTTATATTTTATATATATTTTTTCAAATTTGCTATTCCTTAAAATAAAAAAGAACAAAAAGAATTAAGTTACACATTTAAAAATATAGGGACTAATTATTTAATTTTTAAAGCTAGAAGGACTATTTAATTTATTTGAAAAACTAGATGAATTAATTTATAATTTACTCAATTCTGAAAGCCATGAGAAGATGCGGGAGAGAATGATAAGTTGACGACCACATGCACGTCCACCAAGCGAAGAATAGAAGGTGGTGCGCGCTGCGTAGACCGCATTCCACGACCACCTGTTTAAAAATTGGATAACTACAAATCAGTACACAACGATATACTTATTAATATATCAATCCTCAATCTTTAAAATCTTGCTAATTTTCACTAAAATTTTTTGTTTGGAAACAATTTCCCTCCCCAGCACTTTTCCCTATCATAAAATTGAAATTATTAAACTCACTTATCTGAAAAAAAAATACAATATTATATTCCAAAGTGTATGACTTAAAAAAGGGTCAATAGGATAATTTATTTTGCTAAATGAAAATAAGTAATATTTACTTTTTATTTTTTATTTGAAATTTTTTTTATTCAAATAAAATTTTACACATGTAATTATAAAATATCAGGATTGTATAAAAATGTGTGCGCGTGGAAATTTACCTAAAAAAAAATTAATTTTTTTTATTATTTTGATAAATATTATCCTATTTCATAATTTGCAAAGAAAAAGTTTTTAAAAAGTTGTCTTTCAACTGGCACTTTATCTTTGTTTATAAATATTATTTTATTTAAGGACAAAGTTATACATGCACATACGTATATGGATTTCTTCAATCATAATATTTCTCATATGGAGAATGTATTTAATTTGTTAAAAGATCAAAATGGAAAAATATCTAGTAGATAATTTTATTTGTGAATTAGCAACAAAAAATTCTTATACTTTCCCTTAATCATATACTTTAATTATAAAAATTATTTCATAGATTAAAATTTTATCCATGAAGAGCAATGCTAGGGATACTTAATTTTAATTGAGTAATGTAGCATTTTTTATAGGAAAATTTTTACTTTTATTATTATTATTAATTTTTAATTTTTTTATCATATTTAGTGATACAATGATAATTATGAATTTTTTTATACAATAGAAAAAAGAAAAAGAAAAATAAAAAGCACTAGTTCCTTTCAAACATAGCACAAAAACAATTATCTTGCAAAAGCATACTCAATTTAAATGATGGATGACTTCAAATATCCATTCTAGCATTTTTATTAGAAGCTAACTTATCTATAGATTAATTACCTTCTCTCACAAAGGTAATAAATCATCAATAGCTGTTGTTACATCATATAGTAATATAAAAAAATGAAGTCAAAACTATTTATATCATCACTCATTTATCAATATAAGTTAAACCAAATTAAGTCTGTGGAGAAATTAGCAAAACAAAAAAGATTTGGAACTGAATTGTTAGTAACTATATAGGTTAGGGACTGTTATATAGTTATCCGTTTTAAATGCGATCTCCATCTTTCCACCTTTCTACTTTCTCAAACCATGTGTCGTTTTCAACACCTGAACGAACAAGACTCGTGTTTTTGTTGTAATGCTATTTAGTAAAGTAAAATTCAGCACCGACAAGAGAAGCAGCAGCAATGATTCATCACCGAGTGAAGTTTGTGAGTCGAATCACTTTGATTCAGACTGTAATGGCTGTGTTTTTTCTTTACCTTCTTTTCATGACCCTTCAAGTCCCTCTCGTTTTCAAAACCGCCTTCCTTTACGCTTCTGACGGGACACTCAGCGACGCCTTACCCAGGCCTCTATATTTGGCGGATTCCATTCGGGTCGACCCGAGGAGGATAATGAGTGAGACCCGAAGAATATCGGGTGTTTTCTTCAACGACACTTTCTTCGATGCCATTGATACCGCTGCCGACGAGTTCTCTGTGCTTCACAAGGCAGCGAAGCAGGCGTGGGTTGCTGGTAAGAAACTATGGGAAGAGGTGGAGTCGGGTAAAATCCGACCTGACCTGAAAAAAGGCAACACCACTGAACAACAGTGTCCAAATTCGATTGCTTTATCGGAGTCCGAGTTCGGGGCTCGGAATTGGGTCATGGAGCTGCCGTGCGGGTTGACATTGGGGTCCCACATAACTGTGGTGGGGAAGCCGAGGTGGGCTCACCCGGAGCAAGACCAGAAAATAGCTTTGGTGAAGGAAGGGGAGGAGGCAGTCATGGTGTCGCAGTTCATGATGGAGCTGCAGGGATTGAAGACCGTTGATGGAGAGGACCCACCTAGGATTTTGCATTTCAATCCCAGATTGAAAGGTGATTGGAGTGGGAAACCAGTGATAGAGCAGAATACTTGCTATAGAATGCAGTGGGGGAATGCTTTGAGGTGTGAGGGCTGGAGTTCTAGAGCTGATGAGGAAACTGGTATCTCACTTTTTTGGTTTTTGGTTTCTTATACATGCTTGCTTTGTTGATATTGTTAGGCTTAATTCTCTGTGAGTTAATGCAGAGTAGATTAAAAACTGGTTTCTAAGATGAATGCGATTTCGCTGTGGATGGTTTTGATGAAATAGAAATGTGGCTTTCGTGGTGGATTTATCTGGAAATTATAATTTAGTGTGGAATTCAATTCATTGCCTCTCAGGGTAGTTTGTAACATTACCTGAAAGTTTGTACATTTGCCCATTATTTTGATGCCTGTTACCATGCCATCAGCCTTGCATCTCTTTTATTTTGTTGCCATTTTTTAAAATGCTCTCTGCATTATCCTTATTGATTAGATGGTTTCAAGGAATTTCTAAACCAGCCAGTTAATATTCTTTCGATGACAAGCTTTTTGGGATTTTTTTGGCTGCTTCTTTTGCTCCTTTGATTCACCACTGACACTCTAATCCTTTAATTTTAGTCGGGTGCTTATTGTTATTTTATTTTATTTTATTTGTCTTTTCGAGTTCTGTGAAGTTGATGGACTGGTGAAATGTGAGAAGTGGCTTCGCGATGATGATAGTAACTCAGAAGATTCTAAGGCAACGTGGTGGTTGAACAGGCTGATAGGGTGGAAAAAGAAGATGTCATACAACTGGCCCTATCCTTTTGTAGAGGGCAAAATGTTTGTTCTTACGCTGAGTGCTGGCTTGGAAGGTTATCATGTCAATGTTGATGGGAGACATATCACTTCTTTTCCATATCGCACTGTGAGCAATTTTGTGATATCTTGTAATTTTTCTAATCTTTCGACAGTTACACATCATTTTAAAACTAGGTGTTTTTATGACGTTTTACAGGGATTTGTTCTTGAGGATGCCACTGGACTATATTTGAATGGGGATGTCAATGTACAGTCTGTATTTGCTGCTTCTCTACCTGCTTCACATCCAAGCTTTGCTCCACAGCAGCATCTTGAGATGTTTAAAAAGTGGCAAGCACCTCCTCTTCCTAGCGGGCAAGCAGAGCTCTTCATTGGTGTCCTCTCTGCTGGCAACCATTTTGCTGAGCGGATGGCTGTGAGGAAAACCTGGATGCAGCATGAGTTGATTAGATCTTCAAAGATTGTCGCTCGGTTTTTTGTAGCACTGGTAAGGGAGTTAAGGGAGGTGTGTTTAATTTTACAAACCCTTTTTGTGTTAACCTAATCTGAAAATTCTAACATTTTGTAAAATATTGTACCTTTCATGTGACAGCATGGAAGAAAGGAAATAAATATGGAGCTAAGAAAAGAAGCAGAGTATTTTGGTGATATTGTTATTGTTCCTTACATGGATAATTATGAACTTGTTGTCTTGAAGACTGTTGCCATCTGTGAATATGGGGTGAGTGGTGGAGTGAGACCAATTTTATTGTTACTTTATTTCAGCCAAGATTTAATATGTTTCTTCTACCTGTTGTCTTCATTGCAAGGTTTCTTTTTATTTTTTAATCCTAAGATTACTTACTGAAAATACTATATTTATTGCCCTTGTTTGTTATTGATAGGTACGTACAGTGGATGCAAAGTATATCATGAAGTGTGATGATGACACTTTCGTTAGGGTGGATGCCGTGATCAAGGAAGCGAAGAAAGTGCGGGGAGATGGAAGCCTATATGTTGGAAACATGAACTACTACCACAAGCCCTTGCGTAATGGTAAATGGGCTGTGACATATGAGGTGCTTTCAATGACTAGTTCTGTTTTTGCTTGTATGCTTGTTTTATTCTGTGTCCTGGCTTCAGTGATGTTGTGTATTATATTATGCTCACGTTTACTCTATTTTTTTAGCATCTTTTGAAGATTGCATTATATGAATGGTGGTTGGTTGTTGTGCTAGATAGAATTCCACCTAAATCTGCCGCCTCCCCATACACCTCCAAGTTTTAATGTTTTTAGTTGCAACATATTATCTCGTAGTATTATTCATTTCTCTTATCTGAATTGGTGTTTCTATAATTTTTTAGTTGTGCTTGTAAATATGAAGTCCCTTGTCCAGAATTGGCAATTGAAAGGATACTGATGGGGAACGAGCTGTATGGAAATAAGCTTTAATATCTTTTTCTTTTTAATTGTAGTTATTCTATTCAATCCCTTTCCTATTAGGAATTCTGCTTCTTCTATCTTTATTATGATCCTGTTCTACATTAGCTACGTTTATTTTTCTGCCAACCAAAAATAGTACTGTTGAGCCCATTTACCCAAATGTCATACTGTGTAGTCCTCCAAATCAATCTGATTTCCGGTGGATAGTTGGTATAACTTGAAGTACTGCACTCAGTGTTCTTATGCCATAATCTATTTTTTAATTATTAATTAATTAGTTCCAATTTATAAAATCATTATTGTTATAAAGGGGATTGCATGGTTGCATGATATGTGTTACCCATTTGAATTATCTTTACTAACAATATTTGTTAACCCAGGAATGGCCAGAAGAAGAGTATCCACCCTATGCAAATGGTCCAGGCTACATCATTTCATGTGACATTGCAGATTTTATTGTAGCTGATTTTGAGAGTCACAAGTTGAGAGTATGTTACATTGCGTTACCTTTGCTCATGTGTTTGTTTGTGCCTTCATTTGAGTGCTTGTCTCTGTCATGCCTTTGATTTGCTAGCTTAGTGATGATCGTGGTTATGAGTGATTAATGTGAACTGATATCCACTTGATGCAGTTGTTTAAGATGGAAGATGTGAGCATGGGAATGTGGGTGGAAAAGTTCAACAATTCAAAACCCATAGAATACATTCACAGCTTGAAGTTTTGCCAATTTGGATGCGTTGAAGATTATTACACTGCTCATTATCAGTCACCAAGGCAGATGATATGCCTCTGGGACAAATTGAATCAAGGAAAGGCCCAGTGCTGCAATATGAGATGATTACCATATGTTAGAAATGAGGGTGCTCGTTACAATTGGATGGATAAACTCGAGGTACAAATGACAAATGAAAGCAACACAGAAGCAAGTTTTGCAGTAGTTGTAAATCTCTGTGCATATTCAGAGTAATTTAAGTTAAGATATGATTCCGGACTCTCATGGACTCCATTCATTACGTTTTAATTTCCTTTTTTTCCCCTCTTGATTCAAGTACCCTCCAATTATTGCTGTAGAATAGGATAGAGGGATTACTGTAACTTGAAAAAACACATCTCAAAGTTTTGTATTCTGGAGAGGGAAACACTCAAAAGGCCCTGCAGAGGAATGCAAATATTTTGGTTGGCTCAAGCATGGCTCTTTCCCTCACTCCAGAGTCCAAACACTCGTATATATCGAGTAGTTAGCATTGGTCCAAGTATCCTCATTATGGACATGGTCGAAGTTTTTACATAAATTTTATAGATTCCATGGCCTGATACAATTAAATGAAAATTGTTTTTTAGATTCGATGGTGGGGAATTTTTGTGTTAGTTTGTTAAATGAAATCAAGGTATCGCACAGGACGATTTTGAGATGTATTTTTATATCAGTCTGGTGTATTTAGAAGAATACAATACGATAGTATTGGTTTTAGGGTTTGAATTCAAAAAATTAACCAGTATAGAAATATGTTTTAAATTAATGAGAAATTGTTCCAGCATGCAAAATCTTGAGGTTTTCAGCTTTGTTTAGAAAATCAAAGCGCATAACACTGTTTGGAGAATCTTTAGACGAAATGGTACTGGTAAAGAACGTTTCTTTAAAAAAAAAAAAAAATCATAAATTGCTGTGCATTTTATTGTAGAGCTGTTGATTCACGCCTTAAATTTTCAATGTTTAGCAAAACATTTCACTTTGGTCCTTATATTTTAAGAAATTTTTTTTGGTTCAAAACTTTATTTATTTTTCATTCTGGTCTTTAAATGTCTAAAAAGAGAAAAGAAAGGAGAGAAAAGGATGGTGATGCCAATTCTGGTCGCTTTTAGCATTGAAATTACTTTCAGTTTATTACTCTTAAATAGAAGAATCTGTTTGTAATACTCATAATGATTATGAAACACTTGGGAGAGGTGGATCGTGATTTTAAAAAATTTTGAGATTTTTTATATAGATTTGAATTTTGATGTGTTTTGTGAGGATTAAAAAGAGACTAGAGACTCTAAAGTGTTTATGGACCTTATTTATGTGATTTTAAGAATTTTTTTTTTTTTTTTTTTTTTTGCATAAAGACATTGAATTTGAGTTCAAAAGGCTGAAAATAGGAAAAAATAGTTTTTCTGGCAAGTTTTTTTGGCTGGCCAAAAATTGCAGACGGACAACACGTCGTCTACTTCACCTAGAGTGAACGACTTGTCATTGGTCTACTATTTCCTTCTTTTTCTTTTTTCTTTTTTCTTTTTCCTTAACTCTGCCATGTGCAGGCCTGAAGCAAGCCCATGCGCGCAAGCTTGAGACCAAGCCCGATATTGGGCCTGGATGCAGGCCCATGCACACGAGCCTAGGATCTGGTTTAAGATCAGGCCTAGTGTAGGCCCAAGGATGCTAGCCTGGGATAAGGCCATAGCACAGGCCTAGAAACAGGCCCATGCGCAGGTTTGTAAGTAGGCCCAAGTGCTCGGGCCTGTATTTAGTTGTCTTTTCGATAATTTATTTTAATATTTTTATTTAAAATTTTTAGAAAAAAATTATGAAATATCAAACGCTATTTTTTATATATCCCATGCAGCATTGCAAGAATAAAATATATATGATATTTTTTATATTTAAAATAAACATATATTTCATATTATATTATTTTTATTATTTAAAATTTATCCCTTTAATTTTTCATTTTTTATAAAAATTCGCATCCGATGAATTTTTATTTTTTATACAATTTATTTGCTGATAAATATGATTTATTTTCTCTCTATACATATTTTTTGATTTTTTCTAGAACATAATTGTTTTTTAAAAAAATTATATAATTTATATCATAAATTCTTAAAATTTTTAAATGATGATGATATTATTATAAATATATATTTAATATAAAGGTTAAAAGTGTATTTTAAACAATTTATTTTTGATATTTTTTAATTCTTTTAGGTTTGTACTTTATATTTTCAACCCATTAAGTATGGTCATGATATATATATATATTGAATCATTAATTTTATCAAAAATTAATTACACATTTATACACCACACCAATATTTTGCTTCTTTTGTTTTAATATCATAAAACTAATTTTTTAAAATTAAAATAATATTTTAAAAAAATTCACTAAATAATTTAAATATAGTTTTTCATACTAACATTATTGATTATTACCTTTGATTAAATATGCTTTGATAGATCTAAAATATGATATGAACTATCAAATTGAAATAATTTTATTTTTTTATTCGTAATTTAACAAAGACAATCGACTCTTTACCTCTATTTCTATTCTCATTTATATTGTTTTTCTAATCAGAAGAAGTCTCTCCATCAAGTACACCAAGCAAAGTTGGGTCGTGTCAAAGGTGGAACTAGAACTTCGTAAGTGTGGTGCTAAAAGGGTAATGATTAATTTAAAAATAAGTTAAAACAAAACAAAACAAAACAATAAAAGAAAATAAATTATTTTGAACCTCCTATGAAAAAAAAAAAATTCAAAAATAAGTACAGAATTAAAAGATTTCAAAAATTTGTGGTTGCCACGGTCCTCTCAGGCCAAGGTTAAACATTTCCGGTTCAATATCTCTCCATACAACTAAATTATTTCAACAAAGTTTTATTTTCATACTTGTTCTAAAATGGGAAAACAAAATATAATTCGTCTACAGTTTGGCTCAATTGGGGAACTGGGATATATCGTGCCATCAGCAAATTGTTGAAAACAACCTCAATTTTAGCCTTTAGCCTCTCCCTGGCCTATACATTGCCTTATATTAATCACAATAAGCATTTGCCGTTGTTTTTCCATCTATTTTCCATTTGCTAAGTCTACTTTCTGATTTGTGATCATGTTCTGGTTGTTAATTTCTTATGGAATTTGCGGAGTGCTTTTAATAGTAAGCGCTGATGCCAATGATACCAGAATAAAGATGTAGGTATAGAACTTACTTTATCTCTGTGTAGAGCTTGCTCAGGAATTTTAGGGCCAAGAAAAAGAACCTTTATAATGAAAGTGATTCTCTCTTAGTGGATGTAGTGCTCAAAAGAAAGAACCTTATTCCATGATATTATTTAATTTTAGGGAAAAGGCCGCCAATTCCTCTGCTATAAAGGTCTTCCACTTAGCTAAAGCGTACGCAAGGGGAATCACAACTTTGGCAGCTAATATATATGAGGGAAATGGTCTTGTCCTTATATAATTGAGTCTATGTTCAATGTATCATTATATTTTAAAATAAATTAATTATATTTTTATATTTTAAATAAGTTTTTAATTTGTCTTTCTAGTGATTTTTTTTTCAATCAAATTATTGAAAAAAATCACTGAAATTGCACATGATTTTTTTTTTCGAAAATACCTCTAAAAAAACCATCACGCGCACACATTCAGGTAAGGAATATTTTCAGTTAATCATATACAATACATGAATTTTTTTCTTTTTTTTTGTGTGATTTGGCTAGAAAAATGTATCAAAAAATATATATATATATATAGCATAACTAATCTGTTAAAATTTACGCTTAGAACCTTTACGCTTATAACCTTTTATTATTAGAGATCTTTACCACTGGATTATAAATTCTTTTATAATATAAAAATATATTAAATACTAAACATTATATAAGTACATCCACCATCATTCCCCACCATAATCTCTAAATTTTCGATTAAAAATTAAAACCATCAAAATTTCAATGCTGTTTTTTTTTCCTTTATGAGTAAAATTCTGATGGTTTTTTTTTTTTTTAAAGAAAAAGTTCGAATTTGAGACTTCTTAATAAAAGGAAGGGCACTATTACCAGTTGAACTACATGCATGCAATCGTTTGTTAAGTTTAGCGTCTTGTAGTGTTTAAACTCTCAAGCTCTTTCATTTTTTGAGTACACAAATGAAGCAAAACATTATCGGTCATGGGTACCGTGATCCCTTATGCTTCTTTCTTAATCAAGATAAAAAGGCTGAAAAATGAAAAAGAAGAATAAAATTGTTATCTTTTGCACATTTCTTCCATCTTAAGTTACATTTAAACCATTGAATTCTTACCCTATGCAAATACTTAAAAGAACTTGCATTCTTTAGCTGTCTGACATGAGAGAGAAATCTTGGGATGTCAATCTACTTGGAGATCATCAGACTTCTTTCAAACTGAAAAGCTTCGGGCTAGTTCTTAAAGAAGACCCGGACCAGAAAGTATGCCACGGAATAGATCAAGAAATTATCTGCAACGATTCGAAGATGATATGAATGATCATAGCTGGATATCAAGGACCGAAAACAGATATTCCAAACTCGAGGAAAAATTTAAAAAAATATGTGAATACCTGCAGTGTGCCTTGGGAGAAGCCTTGGGCTATGATTAAATGGTGATTCGAAGAAACAATCTGATGTTGTGTTGAGGCCACCAGGACAGTTACAAACAAAAGTGTTGTAAACTCCGTCATAACCACAAACTCCATTACTTCTCTCGCAATTAGCACAAGAACTTGGATAGTCATTGTACACGTTAAACTTATATTTAAGTGCAATCCCATACTTCCAATTATAAGGGTTAGATTCTTGGCCATTGAAGCTATAGAACCCAGAATATGAAGCGCATTGCAACTTTTGTAAATCCATTTCAAAAGAGGGTCCAAGGTCTACTGGTGTGTAAACACAGCAGGTAGAGATTGGAAGATTGAGTAGACTGATTGCTCTGCAAGAATATAAGAAACTACAAATGGGTGCACCTGTTCTATCACATTGTGGGATCACTGTGGTGTTGCTATCATCATAGGCTCCACTGGTTCTGTAGATAGGTGATGAAGTGGTAGAGCAGTCAAGTAAAGTGAAGACAGTATCATCGTCAAAAGAGAAGGGGGCATCCCAGTCTAGGCCAAACCCTTTGCTTGGTTGAGTGCAAGCACAGGTTGACATAGAGGGATCAGAGATGTATATAACTTGACCGGAATAATCTATGGTGGTGACAGGATAGCAGCCAGTATGGGTGGTTAAAGTGAGCTTTTCTTGGTTGCAAGTCACGTATTGTTGGAATCGTGGATCCCCACAACCAAGGCCAGTTCCAAAGGGATACTTGATGGGAATTTTGCCACAAGAACTCTTGCAGGTTTGTGAGGCTATTAAGGAGGAGAGAGTTATGAAAGTTAAGAAGGAGAGAAGAATGACACAAGAATGCTTGAGCTTCATTTTATTTTGCTAGTAGCATAAATTAGAAAGATCAAGAGGAGGGGATATATATAGGCCGAAAGGTGAGATGTGAAGAATGCCATTGCTTGCTGTTTGTGCATTCATTATATATTGTAGAAGCAGCTAGCTAGCTAGCTAGCTGGTAATTGTCTTACCTTTTGGGGTGGGGGTGAAATTCAGTGGGAATTAAGAGGCATGTGCTTTTGTCTCAAGGGGATATTTTACTATTGTTTATATGACTTTCTGTGTTGGGATTGCTGGCCTTGCTTTTCCCCATTATTAGATGCCTCGGCTAGATCACTTCTCTCATGCTATTAGCCTATGTATATATGCTTGTCCCCCTGCATTTACTTGATTACAGGTTCATTTAGTGATTTCATATATAGATATAGTCGTTGGTTTGGGTGCCGACTGGTAATTAATTAGATGATGACACACTGAATTTGTATATTTTTAATTACTAATATGATTTTCTTTTTAATGATAAGCAGGATTCTTAATCATCTTGCATGTTAACTAAAATTAAATCTTATTTCTTAATAATCATACTTCTTACATTGATTTAGTACATATCGATTTTAAAATTTAAACATAGAAAGTCAAAAGAGAAAAAAAAACCTCTATAACTATCATACCAATTTTTTGAAATTACTAATGTATAATTTTAATCTTTGAAATGGCATTAAAATCCAATGGAAGTTAATTTGTGCAAGATTATAGTATATATTATTGATTTATTATTATTGCGTTCTTGGAGAGAGGGGACTTCTAATCTGGAAATTTGAACTCTTGAACTGAGCATCGGTTGCTACCATTGGGCACGCATGTGAGATTGATTGCTAGCTGAAATTAATTAAAGCAGACATTGAGATTTGAGAATCTAAACAGTGTCTATACGCTTCATTTGCACTTGGTAATATATATAGTGCTACATCACATAAGTGATGTAAAAAAAAAAGTTATCATAATTTTATAAGGATAATGTTACAAAATTCTAATCTGAAAATTTCAATGTGTATTATATCGTTTAACATTTTTACTTTTCAAATTTACCTTTAAAAACTTTCTATTTTTGAAAATGATGTCCGTCATCATGGTGTCACCAAGCATTTTCCTATATATATATATATATATATATATATATATATATATATATATATATTACCTTATTAGAAAAAAGCACATTAATTTCTTTTTGAGAAATTTCATAATACATCGGGAGTAATTAGTGGTATGTACGGTAGTTACTTTGTGGGCTCACTTTGAAGAAAGATAGACACAAAAAAAGAGAAATTACATCCATACTCATCAAAAATAATAAGAAGATTTCTACGTCCGTTCAAATTTTTTATTTTCTCTCTTCTATTTCTGTCTCTTTTTTTTTTGTATCTATCTTTCTCCTCAAAGTGAACCTATAAAATAACTATTATACATATCACTAATTACTCTTTATGTATTATAAAATTTCTCGTTATTTCCTACCCCTCTAGGCCTGCACCCTCAAAGTAAGGATAACCATTGTGCTTGATGAGTGACAATTCACTGTAACCCTCAGAATAAAAAAGGCATAGGATAGAATAAAATCAAATCAATAAACGCACAGAAGTTGGCTTTTTTATCCCCTGTTAATATGATGTATTATAATTTCAAATTAAACACCAGTAGGTTTCCTTAATCAACACAAGAAGCTAATTATTTGATAGTTGGTCTTGAAAGCATTTCTTCCAATCGTCTCGTCCTCTAACTGAATCTGACATTCCTGTTGTCCACTCTTTTTAGGGTGTTTCGGTAATCTTCGTTTTTAAGCTTTTGGCTGCTTCAATATGTCTCTAATAAAGAATTTTTTATTTTAATACTTTTTTTTACTTAACTTTATAAAAATAATAAGAAAAAGATAAATTAATCTTATATAAACCATAGATTTAGAATAATATTTGTATCCACATCTATTAATGAAGTACCATAATTTTCATTTGAAGTGACGGTTCATGTAGGAAAGAAGAATTAAGCAGCCATAAGAAGAACAAAGCCAAATGGGGCTGCTTTTGAGCGTAAAGGGACGATGCTTCGCTTTTTTTGGGGCGCAACACAAGGTTGTATTTCCAAAAGTTTCGAGTATTTTTTGTAACTTTGCCGTGATTTACAACATGGTCCCTAAATTTTTAGTAATTTACAAAATTATCCTTGTATGAATAGGGAGGTAAAGCTAGAAAGAGAAATGGAGGAATGAGGAGGCTGTTTTGCTTCTTTGGATTGCAAATTTGATGTCGTTTTGCCGAAATTTTTAAATGTTTTTTTTTTTTGTGATTTTTTCCCAATTTATAATATGATTCCCTAATTTTTATGATTTGCAAAATGATCTCGGTATGAAGAGGGAGAGAAAGTGACAGAGAGATAGAGGAATGAGAAAAAAGGTTCCGTTTTTTTTTCCCTTACTGTTTTCCTTTTCTACTCTTTGTTTATAAACCGATATTTCTTTTAAAATATTGAAAATTAATTAATACTGTCTGTTTCTCAACGCAACCTTATAAAAATTAATTAGGATATGATTATTTCTTTTATTGAATATATATATATATATTCAAATTATGTTAGTTATTACAATATTACAATAGAGTATTGAGTCTTAAAAGATTAAAATCTAGTAAATAAATTGAACCAAGTTTATATTTTATTTAAAATGCATCTTAATTGGGTAGAAATTAAAAAATTAAAAGAGTATTAGATATAAAATTTCAATATTAAAAGGCTAAAATAATTCACGTAAATTGATTAATTTTTTATTTCATAATCCGTTTTACTTAAATCAAATATCAACAGCGTTTAAAAAATATTATAACTATAAATAATTTCTTAAATAGATAATAGTTTATAAATTTTTATTTTAAAACTGATGTTATGTGCAAATATTTTTAATCAGCCAATTAAAAAAATTAAAGGAAAAGTTTAAATAAATATTTTTAACATGTTCTTAAGCTTAAATGATTGAGTCTTACAGGATAACAAAGCAGCTCAATTTTAAGGATTGTTGTCATATATAAGAAGGTATATTCTTATTCTTGATTTTTTAGATTCGAATCTTTTGGTCAAAATCTAAAAAGATACTAAATTTTTTTAAACGTATTAAATTAATGTGAAAGATGAGTTTTTAAAATCACATAAAGAAGAGATTTAGTTTCTATTGATAACTAAATAAATTCAAAAATATCCTTTGTTGTTGAATAAAAATAAAAAAATAAAGTAGCCCATGCCATAACTAATTGATTTAAGTATAGTTTTAAATAGTGGTCGCGGTTGAAAAAACGATTGCGATCGTGAAATCGGGTCGTGGCTCATCACGGTCGTAAAATAACGATCGCGACGAGTTAATTGTGTGAATACATTAGCAATTGATAATAAATTTATTCTAATTCATATTTTTTTGACAGTTTTACTAATTAAAAATAATAATAAGTAATCATATCTCTAATAGTTTAATAACATATAAAAATAGTTAAATTTATTATAAAAAATAATTAATAACACTTTCAATAGATTAACATCACATGAAAAATAATAAAATATATTATAATTTCAATATACACATTACAAAATATTCATCTTTAAAAAGATCATCGTGGAGGATCATAATAATAGTTATCATCTTGTTATTGATGTTGTGATCCTGGTTTATCAAAATTACAACCATAGCTATATTGTCCTTTCAAACTCAATTGCCCAAATAATGAAGCGACAATGGATGATCCAATTTCTTGAGGATATTATGGATTTGAAATTGATTGTTCTAATGAATCATAAGATACATAACCATATACTTCGTGGATCTTGTGGGTGGTAGTATTGTCTTTGATCATAATTGAAGTTAGAAGTTGAATTATCTTCGGAAGAGACAGAGTGATGTCCTTGATCATGCAATATGGTACCACTATATTATTGTTGTTCTACTATTAGTGCTTTATTTCTAGCATCGGATCTAGGTGCGGTAGAACTATGCAACCTATGCCTATATAGAATTGGATTGACATTGCTATCAAAAGTTATTCCCTTTCCACGACCTTCATCATTGCTACTGTCTGCTATTATCGTTATGAGAAGCTCCCAAATCACTAGGTTCTTCATCTTGATCATCATTATCACCATCATGTAGATTAGTTTGATCATTAGAATTGTTTTGATCATTTTTGTCATCACCACCGTCATCGTCGCTATCATCATCATGCAAATGCAACCAATCCATATTTTGTCCATCGAGGATCGGTTGTTCATTTTCCTCCAACCAAGGAGACAAGTGGATCATCTTCATAAAACACGTAATCCAAATTAATTGGATTAAAACTTTCTCCTAATTCTTTACGGCTCATCTACAATGTATTTCTTAACCTCGACTTCATGTTGTAATGAAGATAAACAAGTGTATGTAATTTTTGATACTTCAACCTGTTTCTTATCTTCGTATGCACTAAGCTGAAATTGCTTTAATTTCTCTCACAATTTGAAATGAAAGTTGTTTGACTCAAAATCCACATTGCAATCTTTCTAAGCGTTAAAGCATCATTTTCATAACTATTCCACCACTCAGCTACATTGAACAAATAAAATTTCATAAATTAAAAAAAAATAACACCAATAATGTTTACAATATGAAATTTTATAAATTAATAAAGTACCTGGATTTGTTGAATACACGACCTTACGAGCTATAGTTAAACCAAATGTTTGTTGTTTCAAACTATACAATTCCAACTATATATTTAAATTAAAAAATATTATAATAATATTATAATATATATCTTATGATATTAAATAGTTTTAGCATCTTATGTTATCACAATTCACAAGATTATTTAACTTACTTCATTGATGGCTTTGATTTGCTTATCAATGTCGGGTTCTAATCTCATAATTGCATTTTTAACACCTTGCATGATTTTTTCACCTTGATAAATTGGATTCTTTTGGAGTATATAATGATATTGGGGATTCAAAAAATAATTTACAAA